CCCAAGTAAATGCTGGCATTCCCATGCACCACTGTCACTACAAGCTACATGAATATCATTTAAAGTAAAACTTTGCCTAAGAAAAAATAATTCAATAGTTATATATTCATATATTTGGAAAGAGTGTACATATGCTGTACATAGATTTCATAGGAAGAGTGGTTCTTACTGAGTCTAGAAATATTTCCCTGATCACACAAAATAAAACATACTTTAGCAATGTCCTCAAATAGGTCTCTAAAATATGAAGCTCTCTCTTTACTACATCCTTTTTGTCCACGATGAGCACATTCTCTCCAGAACTGAAATTCATCCGTTGGCGTAAGTATAGCTGCAAATAAAATAGAAAATATTTATATATTAAATGAATGAATGTTTATAAAATACATTCAGTCAGAACATACTTTCTAAAGCAAATTTATACATACTGTTATGTAAATATCCTCTAACTTCTGATCCTGACTAGATGCAGTATAAAAGTCAACTCTGCGCTTCCGGCATGACCAAGTAATTCCAGTCTACTAACAACAACCAGTTATATTTTACACTGTGAAATCACTGTGAAACCCAAACTCTCAACTTGTAAATAAATTATTCACTCTGAATTCAAAAATTAACTGTAAAAGACATAACTGCAAAACAAACCTCGCACATCATCTTCACTGAATTTTGTTCCTGTGTAACTGGGATCTGATTGTCTGAGAGCAGTACTCAAGCCAGCTTCAAGCTCACTTAGAAGTTTCTGGAGCTTGGGATCAAATGTTTTACTCCATTTCTCATCCTGTAATGAAAATTTTGAAAATTATGACTCACATGATAGAGGAATTAGTATTTTCTTCCCATAAAAAAATACAAAATTCAGATTAAGTACCAACCACGTAGTGGGACAATGTACCATTTTTTTCCCTGAAGTCAAGGAAGAGCACCTCATTCTTTTGAGTTAACAATTCAGAATAATACTATAAAAAGCATTTTTATTACAAAATCAAAAGTCAGTTGCCAGGTTCATAAAAGCACCCTGAAAGCATGTGAGCCATTTTTCCACATTAACCACCAATGGCTGGTGTATTCCACATTTCCTGTCAGGCATATGTATGACCAGAACCTTCCTTAAATCCTTACTGATAAGAGCTTAAGTACTTTCTTTAACTTAGCAACTATAGCTATCAACCATTGCTTAATCTCCTCAAACATTTTGGTTTCACGACATGAAATATTTAGCTCAGAATTAGGTAACATCCTATTGAATTCCAATGTCTCAATATAAATCTACAGAACATTAAAGTAATATATTGTTCACCTTTAGTAATACTGGTGCAAAAACTTGTCGTACAGCTTGATAAAGGGTGTTGATTGGTGAATCTAGCATAGATGACACAAGAATATTACTGTGAAGATTATCTTCAGTAATTACATCAGGTCTCAGCTTAAAGAACACCAACACATTATTCTTTGAATCAGTAGCTTCAATCTGTAATAATCAAGAAAACAGGATTTGTTTAGAAAGCTGTTACTAACCATTTACAAAACAATTTTCATCAAGAAAACATATAAAATAACCATATTCCTCCCTCTGGACTTTGATAAAATTCTGGTAGTATTTTATTTGCACAGAAAATTAAAATTTTTATGATACTTATTTCTGAGTCCATAGGAACCTGACTTCCAACATCAAATACATAAGGCCTTCTACAGCATATAATGTCTGTAAATATCATCAGTTCTTACTATATTTTGAAAACTCCATTTACCACTTTCTCTGGACAAAACAGAAACTCTGTCTTGTGTAGAGAAACTAAGCATTAAGCCTATTTTTTTAATTGCATTTTTATGCTACAAACCTTTGGGAATATTTTTCTATATATTCTAAATATTCTGTACTCAGGTTCTCCTGAGTTTCTAAATACATTATTATAGATTTCTCAAGAACAGAGACAGGCATGCTCCTTCATCACTGAAATCATAAATTGCAGCATGACGAATGTTCCATCCACAGCCTAACTTAAGGGTAAAGTTCAAAAACTTGCTATAAAGTAATTACTGAAATTATTTGTGGCTAAGGAGAAATCATAGAACTGGAAAATTTATTAAACATTTGATAAATTTATAGCAAAAAGATATGCTAAGCGAAATCCCAGATCCTGTACAATTGCAAACATTTGTGTACTATTTTTCTGGTAAAAGAAACAAAGGGTAGTAGAAACAGCTTTCAGTTTTATTGGGCAGCATCAGTTTTACTTTCTTATCAAGTGTTTAGCCCAACTCCCACAGACACAGCTTCACTGAGACAAGTACAGAGTATAAGACCAATATGCATCTGATCTTCCACAGCTCCTGAAAGCTGCTTTGCACTTTAGACAGTGGCTCAGCAGCACCCCCAAAAACTGGTACACAAATATGTTTATTCTTCCCTGAATACAGCAGGCACTAGACTTCACAGAGGATTAACCAAGGAGTTATGTAAGTTAAGGGTCCACATCCACATGCTGAGGACCCTTTACATGCTTCTTCCGTGTGTGAAGCCACTGACATAAGAGACACCAAGTCCCTGGTCTCACTGCAGAACAACAGGTCCCATTGTCATTGTCCACCTTGCCTGTACACTCTGAGTGGCTGCACCACACCATGCCCTCCCTACATGGCGACACTGAGTGCACATCACACCCCATTGGTAGCAACCCCAAGAGTCACTTGCTGAACACAAGACTCAAGGCAGGACATTTCACACAATGAACCCCTGATTTGCTTACAGCTGGACCCATCAATTTGAAAAATACATGCTTTGGACAAACACCCACTTTGGATTTGTCAAGTATCAGCCAATGTGCCATACATTGGGTCCCATTCCCTGCATGGACATTGTCCATGCAATCCTTTGGGCCACGTGCTTGCAACCATGCCCAGGAAGAAATCATACATCCAACTCCATGCCCTGGGCCATTCACATAGAGACAGTATACAACACACTAAACCTGCACCAACATGGGCACAATCTGCTAACAAATGTATCGTCGGCTGACCATACAGTCTTCGTGGACTCTGGGGATAGTGTTCTTATTTCAGCAAGGATAGAGTTAATTTTCTTACAGTGCTGTGTTTTGGATTTAGTATGAGAATAATGTTAATATGACACAGTGGCTGCTGCTGAGCAGTAATTACCCAAAGCCAAGGACTTTTCAGTTTCCCATGCTCTGCCAGTGAGGAGGGCAGAAGAAGCAGGGAGGCAGCATGGCCGGGGCAGCTGACCCGAACTGGCCAGAGGGATATTCCGTAGCACAGAGCATCCTGCTCAGTGTATGAACTGGGGGGAGCTGGTCGGGAGGCACCGATCGCTGCTGGGGGACGGGATGGGCATCAGTCAGGGGGTGGCGAATAACTGCACTGTGCATCTCTTGTCTCTCTTGGGTTTTATTCCCCTCTCTCGCCCCTTTTCATTACAGTTATTAACATTATTATTAGCGTGTCAGTAGTTAGCTATTATTATACTTTATTTCGTTTCAGTTATTAAACTGCTCGTATCTCAACCCACGGCGTTCTTTTCTTCCCGATTCTTCTCCCCACGGCGAGGTGGGGGGACAGTGAGTGGTACTTATCTGCCGGCTGGGGTTAAACCACGGCAGCCGCCAGAAGCTTGCAGCAGACACAGAGACCTGCACAGATATTCGCAGAAGGGAGATGTCTCCCAAATCTGATACATTTTTACGGCCACCAAGCCTGGGCTGACTGCGGGCTCTGCCTCCCCGCTCGCACGCCGGGACGCGGCGGACACCACGGTACCTTGTTGGAGGCGCTGAGCTGCGCGCCCGAGTGCTGCACCACGAGCAGGAACTCATTGCCGTCGTCGAGGAAGCGGCTCAGCTCGGGACGGGAATGCAGCCTCGCGGCCAGGGCAGCGGCACCGCCCGCCGGCTCCAGCCCGAAGTAGTTGGCAGCCGTGGCTGAAATAAAGCGCTTCCTCCTGTCTCCCTCCCCGGCCATGGTGGCGGCACGCACACCGCCAGGCAGGATCAAGGCGGGGACGGATCCAGAGCGCCAGGGGAGCACATGCAGGCGCTGGCGGGATTGGACCCAAAAGGCTCACGGCGGGAAGGACAGCGGCTCGCTCCGGGGCACAGGGCTCCGGAGAGGCCCGGAGCGGTCCCGGCGTCGTCGGGACCCGTCACTATGGCGACCAGAGATGGCGGCCCTGGCGCGCAGGCGGCCTAGCTGAGGGTGGCGCGGGGCAGGGAGGCGGCGCTCGACGCGCTCGGAAATCAGCGGAACGGGGCGGGACGGGGCTGGGCCAGCGGGCGGAGCGGAAAAGGTGCCGCGCTGCTCCTTGGCACGGCAGCAGCGCCCGTCAGTCACGCGGGGCTCGGCCGGCCCGATCCGCTGCCAGGCTTCCCCTGAGTTCACCGAAGCAGCTCGCCAGCCATCAGCTGCATCACGGCCGCCGCAGTACCTGGGGTGTTTCCCTCGCCCCCGCCCCACTCCGCTAGGGAGCCCGTGGTGCCCGGTACAGGAAGGCGGAGAAGGACCGCGGTCCCGGCCCCGGCGAGTGCTGGGAGAATGCTCAGACCGCCCACCGGGACCACAGGCTTGTGGCTGCCCGTGGTTTCGCGGGCCAGTGCGGGCGTAGCGATCCGCGCCCCGCTCAGCGATCCCGGCCGCTTCTCTAGAGTCTCTCTAAAAGGACGGAGTGCCTCCCGTCCCCCCCAGCAGCTGCCCCCGAACTCGGCCACCGCTCGCGGCTCTCGGCAGGCGGCTGTTCCAGCCCCGAGCCCGCCTCCGGCGCTGACGGACACCCAGCTCCCCCCGGGTGTGGGCCGTGACCGCGCGGGTTCCAAAGCACTGGAGGGGTTGGCGTTTCCCCGTTTATTCCGCTGCAAACGCCGAGCCATAACCGGCACGCGCGCGGGCCCCGCTCCGGCCGGGAAACGCGCGCGGCAGCCCCGCCCTCCCGGGGGCGGGTCCTGACGCGGCCCCGCCCCGGCGGCGCTAGCACTTCCTGCCCGGCGCCGTCTGTGTCCGGGTCGTTCTCGCCGTTCTCTCCACAGCCGATACCGCCCGCGCTCGCTCCCGCCCCCAGCACGACACCCGCTTCTGCGAACGGAGCGGCGGCGGCGTCTGCCCGCGGCGAGCGGGGGACGGCAGCGCCCGGTGGGGCTGGGGAGGAGCAGCAGGAACGGGGTCTCCCCTCGTTTCCTCACCGCCCGTCTCGGGAGGCGGCGGCGGCCAGGAGAACCGAGCCCGGGGGGGCCTCGGCTGCGGGCCCCGGCAGCGGGGCGGCCCCGCCCCGAGGCAGGACGATGCCGGTGAAGAAGAAGAGGAAGTCCTCGGGGGCGGCGGCGGCGGCGGACGACACCGGCCTCAAGAAATGTAAACTCGGCAGGTACCGTCTCGCGGGGCGGCGGCCGGTGCCGGCGGGCACGTCCCGGGCTGCGGCGGCCGGGGGGCTCCCCAGAGCGGCGGGCGGGCTGTGTGGGGCCCGGCAGGGCCGCGGCCGTGCCGGGGCACACGTCCGGTGCAGGTGCGGCGCTCGCTCGGCGTGCGGCCGCAGCGGCGGCGTGGTCACGCCTCGGCGAGAAACGCCACGGAACGGCTCCCGTTCCCGGCTGGCTTTGCCTTTGGCTCTGCCTCAAGGGCCAGTTCTGGCATTTGTCCCCATATTCGTTCTATTTCGCTGGGGTAGGCGGCTCTCCGCTCTTAAAGGTTGCCGGTGCTTAGAGGCTCCGTGCTAAATCGTCGTTTCCTCTTTTTTTTTCTTTTTTTTTCTCCCTTTTTTTCCTTCTTTTTTATTTTTTGCTTTTTCGCAGTAAATTGGAAGGATTGGTCAGCACACTGGAAAACAAGAGCAGGAAAGGTTTCCCTAATAAATACAGGAGTCGGAAGCATCTTGTTCATTAACTACTCTAAAAAGACCGCTTTATGCCGAGATACCCAAAAGTTGGTGTTAGAATGATAAACCATTAGTGCGGTGCAGCAGGAGCTTACAGTGTGGCTTCCCCGAAGTAACTGCCTGTCTTCTATTAGACCTTGCTAAGTATGCGAGTAGAGCAGTAGTTAGGGCTAACGTCCTGAGGACATGAGGATACAAAGGACTTGCGAAATCCACACTACGGGAATGGCTATTGCAAAAAATTGTGGTGTATGGCCTTTCTCGTTGGCTGGCCAAACTTGAGCTTAGAAGTACTCAGGCTCTTATTTTGTTATGACTGTTCATTTTGGGTAAGCATTCCAGAGCTCATTTTTTGTAGTCATTGATGACCTTTTAGTTTCAATCTGTTATTCCTTCCCTATAAATCTGTTCTTGTTGCCAGCATTATCCTCTGTACCACTCTACTCTCTCATGGTTCTGCCTCAAAGTATATGTAGAGGGAACACTTCTGTTTTCTCATATTTTACTTTGTATACTTCTAAAAACTAAGTTATTCTGGTTTGTAATACCAAATTTCAGTTTCCTTGCTCATCCTAGCACTTGTTTGCATGTGTTCACTTTCAGTTTGTCTTTCTAGAACAGTGTTAACAGAAATTTAGAATCTTAATTTCTTTTACTTGGTGTTTTTTTAGCTTAGGAAAAGGAAAAAACTCACAGATTCTACAGGGAGCTGGTTGTTGGGCAGAAACTATGATGTCAGTCAGAGTTCATGCTAGGTGATCAGAAAATGCTATATAGACAAGCATTTTTGGCATTCTGTTCTTACACAATAAGTTATTGGTAATATTCTTTAGTAAAATCAGTGATTACAAATAGATCTATGTTAATCTGGATAAAGCCAATAAGCAATAGCACACCATATGACTCTGCCTCTTTCTGGTGACTTGTGTTCCTCATGCCAGTTGGATGGACGGATGAATGTTTGTAGGACTCCTTCTAGCTTTCAGCACAGAATGCTTCTTCTTAAGAGTGTTGTGTTCTTTTCCAGTGAAGCTAAAAATGATACATGGGAGTTAAAGTTGTTCATCCCTCTCAGAATTGAACTATTCTTCTCCTGCTTGACGTTTTAATTTTAAAATTGCAATGTGGGAGCTGCATAATTTTAAAGCCTCATATGATTAGTTCTCACCTCATTGTTAGAAATAACCTTAGCTTGTTTTAAAAGTCTATAATTTGTGTTTGAAAGGAGGATGCATTGAAAAGGTGCTGCAACTCCTTACTGACTGAAGGTGCCTTTGTGTAGTCAGTGTTTTTACTGGAAGAAATTCTGTGCATTCTTTTAATGAATGATGAATTAGAGAATTCACTTCCTAGGCAAACTGGGTTGTGTGTTACATAATGAAAACAATGATGGGGGAAGCTCTGTGTGCTGAGCAGCTTCAGCCTTGCCACAGATTGCACGCTGCTATTCTGGTGTACGTACCAAATAGCTATAGAATTTGTAGATGCCTAATTACATGTATAATGTAAACCAATTGACCGGATATTTTTCCCAGATTTGAGTGGTTAACTATAAATAGCCTGACTTTTAAATATGTCGAGCTCTGCAGCTTCTGTTGACCTTAATGGGGTCTGTGCATGTTCAGCACTCTTGAAAATCAAGCTGCTTATTAGAGACCTAACATTAAATGCTTGTATGTATAAATAAAAATAGATAATGAGGCATTTGAATTACTGAGGAGTGATATTTTGGCCATCTGTGTAGGGGTTTTTTTTGTTTAATATCTACAAGATAACAGTACTTCTGCATTTCAGGAAAAGTAATAGTTGTAATAAATTGAGCTATGAGATGGTTGTAATCTAAAGGTAATTTTATGTTCCAACAGCTGAGGATGACACAGCTGCCTTTTATGAAATTCAGCATAAGTCTAGATGTATACTGACCTCATTAAACAATTTAAGTAGATTCATAATAAATGTTGTGTAATTTAATTTTTCCTGGTTTTCACTTGTGTCATTAAAATAACACTGTTCATCCCTGTGTTTCTATTTGCTACTGCAGATCACAAGCATCTGGTAAAGTAATAAGTGGAGAGGAACATTTTTCAAGCAAAAAGTGCCTGGCTTGGTTTTATGAATATGCAGGTAATATGCAATGCATTCATGTTTGAAACTATATTATTTGGTTTTAAATAAAACAATACATAAAACATTACTTGCGTTTTGCTTTTTGTATGCTGATGTAGACATAAAAATATGTCCATGTATTTGCTTCCTTAGAACGTGCATTTGAATTAGGATAGCTTTTATTATGGCATTCTTGGTATTTGTTCTTTTTTACTTGTTTTTGTTTATGCTTTATAACTTTAAAATGAAACAACAGATATGAGCAGTACAATGTTGAGCCGGGATATACTGAGTGATTCACTTCTTGCTTTGAAATTGTCAAGTAGAAGTCAGGACATTGAGAGATAATTCAGATTGATGCTTATGTGTCTAACTATATCTTCTTTGTGATCATATTGGAAGGCTAATGATATAGGTCATGATTTAAGCTCCTTGGATTTCTGTTTTACAAAACAAAATAATAGAGGTTTATACTGGTTTTCCATCTGAGAATTTGTACTAATATATTTTATATTCTAAATATCAATGTTTCATTCCAGAAGTATTTGAAGTAGCCTCTTTCAAACAACTCACAATTGCCATCAAATAGCTGCTTTAAGTGAATATGCAGTGTATATCACTTATTTATTTACCAATTCTCTGGTTTCTGAATTCAGGATTTCTGAATAGTTATTAATTTCTTGTCTGGTCACTACTTAAAGTCCATCATTGCTGGTTGGTGATTAAAACTCAATAATTGTCAGATCTTAGTATGGAGAGAGCTGCTGATTTATCTGCCAGCAGTTGTTTTGAGTATATTTATCAAGACTGATATTTTCCTTGCAGTCTTTTCACACCAATGAACTACTTTTGTTTATAGTAATCTGCTCTATACTTTAGATTTGAGGCATACTCTTCTGGAGTGGAGTCTTTTCTAGGGAAATAATAATTCAAAGGAATTTTCTTGTGATAAATTTCTTTGCACATTCTTTAAAATTAATGTCTGTAAATTTTGGCTTTGTTATTGAGTCAAGAATTGAATGTAGGAGGTTATACTTTTAGTTAACCAGCAATCAAAAAATGCCACATTTCCAGCATGAGCTAGAATTCCAATTAAATTATATACAACAGAAGCTGAAATGGTTCCATTAAAAGATAAAACTATACACACACATTTAAGTGTATGAGTTTTATGTATGATTTCTGGACCAGAAACACTCATTCAAGCTTTTACTTGTCATTGCCAGTGAACCGTTGTATGTGTTTCTCTTCATAACTTGCTGGGGTTTTTTAAGAATTTTCTATCTAACACTGTTTGGCCTTGCTTACCTAGGCAAAATGTCCTTTGCAATATTTTTCAGGAGGTAGGTATTCATGATGTTAAGTGTCAGTTGGATTTTATTTTTCTGCAGAAGTAGCCATTCTCAATAGGTTTTATTAACGATGTTCGTATCTCACAGTGAGTAGTTATTCAAAGCACTTTATCCAAACTCTTAAAGAGGCTTCTGCTTACACTGGCAGCAGATAAAGTGGAGACAGATTCGTCAAGGACTCTGCCTATTATAAATAGCAAAATTTGCCAAAAACTTGTGAAGTGGTATGTTGTTTTGGAAGCTAAAACCTTTGCCTTTTACATTAGTTCATACTCCTTAAATGTTCATGTAGTGATCCAGGATGCATTCAAATACTGTGTTGACAGGCCTTTTAATAATATTTGGCTGCCCAGTAAGAGTCATTTTTGGAGGTTTAGTCGAAATAACTGAAGCCAGAGAGATTAGAGGAACAAATGCCCTAGAGTGTGTGTCCGTATGCACTCTTTAAGGGCACTATTTTGCTGCATTTTAGAGACTTTGCTGTTAAAATGGAGAAATGACAGCATAACGCTAACTGTTGTGGTCCTAATCAATTTGTTTTCATTGCAGTCCTGAACCTCTTTTTTGCTTTGTTTATGGCTAACATGCTCAGCATTTCTTCAATTTATTGTTTTCTCTCTGTTTGTTTTACTCAGCATCGTAAAACTCATCTTACATTATTTGTAGATTCACCCTCTGTGTTAGTGTAAACCCATAATGTTAGCACCATTGAAAGAATAGTATCTGTAATAGTAGCTCAGACAGAATTAATTTTTTTGTTGGTGATAAAATATTTTTTTAAGAACATTATTCATAAAGTAACTTCAGCAGAGAGTAGCAGTACCCAAATTGTCTTAAAACAATTGACTGCCACAGTTATTGGAGTTGAGCTGGTCAATAGGAAGCTCAATGGAGTTTTTTGAGAACTCAGATACAAAACTAAGATGGCTCATCTGCTGTCATAGGGAGGCAGTGCACAGCACAAACATTCTGGTGTAGCACACACATGTCTACACAATTGCACTTGATAGAATAGGTCTTGCTTAAAAGCTACTTAATAGTGTAATTCAATGTTTTTAGAAATACTTTGGGTGCAATATAGCCTAATTATTGTTCATAACTCTTATAAGCAGTGAATGTTACTTGGATTTTTCACTCTGGTGTGGTTTTTGCTTTGAAGGTCCTGATGAAGTTGTAGGCCCTGAAGGAATGGAAAAATTCTGTGAAGACATCGGTGTTGAACCTGAAAATGTAAGTTTCTTTCATAGTGCTAATAACACCTAAGGGGATATTCGATAAGGTTAAATTCTGTGTATAACTTTTAACTCCACTAAGCAGAGAGTTTTTCATCTTCCTGCTTGTAGGAGCTGCTCTAAGATATTTCAGCTGAATACATCAATTTTACTTGGCTGGTGTGTGAGGTTTTTTGGGTGGGTTTATTATAGGTATACTTAATTTGCAAAAATTGGAAGTGAGGGAAAAATTGCATGTAGCTGAACTTTTTAGTGGTAACAAATATGAAGACTAAGCACGTATCACAATTGCTAGAATGTTTGAATGCTTTAGAGTTTTGTTCTTGGACATTAGTAAATCAGCCTTTTCTTATGTACTGACTTCTTTTCCTCCCCTTATTTTTATTTTTGTTTCCTCTAGATTATTATGTTAGTTTTAGCCTGGAAACTAGAGGCTGAAAGCATGGGATTTTTTACCAAGGAAGAATGGTTGAAAGGAATGACCTCATTACAGTAAGAGTGTTTTTACTTATCTAATAGAATGTTCTAATTTTATAATTGTACCTATAACTTAACTATTCTTGTTCTGTTTCATGTATGTTGGAAATAAGACACAAAAAAAGCTGGCTTTTAGTTCTTGTTTTGGTCCACAACTGCAAAATTAATCTGAGTTAACGCAAAGGATTAAATTATTGTCTAAACCTTGTTAAGTCAGGTTTTGAGGGCTTCCTTTTCTTGCAACAATATGTTAAAATACCATTCTAGCTAGCAGATATAAATAAGTAGATCAGGAGACGCACATAAGCATGTCTCAGCACTGATATTATGGAAAGATTTTACTGATTTTTGAGCTTTATAGATGATGACTGCATGGATAGTAATTTTGGCTATTGGTATTATTTATTAGATGCACATCAGAAGCCATGCTTAATGCTTAGGTTAAGTAACACCTTTTCAATTTATAAGTTAACTTCTTGCTCTTTCTGTTTGCATTTGGATTTTTGATTAGTTAATGCTCTGTCTAAAGAGATTGTCTTACATTAAAGTAATCAGTGTTTTGTGAGGCTTAAGTCAGTTGTTACTTTTTGTTCATCTTTGTTTGACTACTTATGGTACCCTAGTGTTTTAAGGCTGTCTTGTTATGACACTGCATTTAATATTACAAATAGGGAGCTACTCTTGCAGCTAGAGCAGAGTTCCCTGTCACTTGTGGATTGGTTTGGGAAATTGTATCAGGCATATACCCTCTGGTTACTCAAAACTCTGGAGTAAGTGACTCTGGACTGACTCTCAACTCTTACTTGATTTGGCATCAGGCTTCTGACAGTTGCCTTGATTATTTTGTGACTATCACCATAAATTAAATTAGGAGTGGGAATTATTAAATTGCCTGAAGTTCAGGGCGACAGATTAAATTCTGGGTACATGATTTTTCAGATGCAGTGAATGGGTGTTGGCCACTTATCTGAAGTATTTAATTCTTACCCCCAAATAGAAGCTTTAAGAGTTAGCCAGTTTCACAGAATGCAAGCACAGACATGTATGAAATCAGGCCCTTGTTCAGAGCCCATGTTTTAGACTAATAATTTGCTGACTGGAAATCTTCTGGTTCTTTTCAGAACAGAGCTGGTCATGCTATAGTCTAAATGTGTTTAATACTGAAAATAGGGTACTGCTGTGTGTTTTCATAGAAACAGACTTCTGGTGAGAGCGCTTGCCTGAGCCTAAAGCAGTTGATGTGTATGTTTGCTTCCCCTGTTGCTCTCTAAAAAGCTGGCTGAGCAGCTGGGTGAAGCAGAGATGCTCACATAGCACAACTCAAGATCCATAGGCTAAAAAATACGTGCAGGTTTTGGCTGGGAGTGAGCAAGCAGTTCTGTGATGTTTAGCTGCTATCTGAGGTTAAACCATGATGAAAGAAAATACAAAGCTGTAGACTTGTGCTGTTGTTGCTTATTAGAAAGCGAGGATTATATTATGGGATTCCATCTGGAATGGGGTTATCTATTTTCTCTTGAAAAGTCTGAAAGGAGTTTGAAGGAAAAGGGTTTTACACTTAAAACAACAAAATATTATTGCATGCTTACACAGCTTATTTCTTTTCTTTCTAATTTTTGCATGAAGAAATGAGATTGAAATGCATTAAAACCCTAGAGTGTATTCCACATAGACTTCTGTATAGAATCTTTATTTCAAGATATGTGAAGTGTTACAGGAGATAATTGCATGAACAGTGCTGGGTGGGATTCAGCTCAATAGTAAGATACCTAAATGTTTGGTTTATGTGCAAGAGCTGGATTTCTTAAACTCTTACTGCAATCTTTGGAGATCCAGTCAGTGTAATGGAGCCTAGGGAAGTATCCAGTTTGCCCTAAGACCTAATGACTGGTCACCTCAATTGCTCTTAGAGGTTGCTTGGCTAGTCCTGTATGAATGGCAACACCTGAAGCTTAGGACATCCCTGACAGTTAGATGGCAGCATTTGGGTGCCTGAATCTTGAAGTGACATTCTCTCTGCATGTTTTGTAATACACTGGTGAGGTTTGCTGTTTATGAGAAAAATAAATGTGTGGTGAGGTAGATAGTGTCAAAGTGAAGGTGAATTCAACCTAAATGTCATCTTATGAGACCTAAGCAACTTAGGCTGGGAGGTTTCCAGTATGTTGTGTAGGTGGGGTGTGGGGTGAATTCTGCCCCATATGTGTGTATATGTACATATATATATGTATATATGCAAGCTCTCTTCATGGCAGAATCAAGCACCTCTGCTAGGCTGATTATTCCATGCTTCTCAGGATGAAATGTATAGAATAACCTTAAATGCTTTTGGTTTAATGTTTGTAAACATCTTACTGATTTTTCTTTTTAGTAAAAGACAAGTATATGTGAATAGCTATGAAATATAAAACATTGGACTATCTGAGTAGGAGTTAATGAATCATCAGTTTGTCCGTGTTAGCTATGCCTCAGATGATCTCTCTCAACAGAAATTAAAATACGTTCAGTTTGTGGTCCTAATTTGAGTTTTGTTAAAAATGTGACATAGGGATGAGAAGAGAATGTAGTAAGCTAATGTCTAATTTTGTTGATCTTGAGGTAACACTATTCAGTGCTATCTTTCAGTAAAGACAGTTTGGGAAATTGCATCTTTTTCTAGTGTCTATACAGGAGTTCAGTGTTAATTCACTTGTGCTAATGAGAAGGTTGTTCTGCTTATTAGGAAGATTATTCCAAGTATGGGTGACCTCAGTCGTCTGTTTTATGGTGCAGCCACACAGGCAGCTGTGCCTCTGTAAAAGAGGAGTTTAACAACTCCTTGCTTATTTTTGGGAGGAAGGTCAGTTGCTAGGTACAGAAATGTCCTAATGTCTGTGTGTCAGATCCAGAGGTTGGTGCTGGTCTGAGCATGATCCATTTGGCTTTTTGTTATAAATGCACTGATAATAAATTGCTTAGGAGTCGTGATACGTAATTATTGCTCATTTTCATACCAACTTTTTCAAAAGAATAAATTGTGTATTAAAATATACATAGCCAATAGTATTGTAGACAATAGCTGGCATTTTACTTTGCACTTAGATTTAGGATTATTTGAACAATTTTAACAAAGTAGTTTGCAAGAAATTTAAACATAATGAAATTTGAGTTTACCCATGATATGGTAAATAGTCTATTAAGTTATATTTAACAATGTGTGATAAACCCACTATAAATATTTTATATGTCACCAGTACACTTAAAACTTGAGCATTTAGGTAGATTAAATAGGTAGATTTGTCCTCAAATGTGTAGAACATTCTGGTAGAAATAGGAAGCTTTGAACAGTAGAAGAGATATGAATAAAAAACAGAACACCTTTCTACCATAGCATAATGCCATTTTAAGGGTTAAATAGTAGAATACAGACCAATTCAATGGCTGAAGACAAAAAAAGTAATTTTATTTTTTTTTACATTTACTAAATCTCATTTAACAAGAGATCTTTTCAATTCGTTATATGGTTTATCACAGAATATACTAGTTGTCATCTGAATATGTAGCCTAATTAGCTAATAGTTTTATTTATTGAACACCAGTGTTGGCTAGGACTTAGTGCTGCTTTAGGTAGATGCTGCTAGGTACAGGAAATAATAAAAGGTTGCATCAGTTGGAATTGCTACTGAGACAGACTGACAGACAGCTGTGCACACACAGGCTGGCAGATCTGAGGAATGGGAAGTATCAGCTGTGGGCAAAGTAGAGCATCAAAGCCCAGCATCTTAGCAGCCCTTGCTGGGGGCCTGTGTGACAAGTCCATGTGGAGCTGTTAGAGGTGCAAATGTATTCTCTGAGAGGCAGGCTGCTAAAAGGGGGACACATGACCAGAGGAAGTATTTATGCACAGCTGCATTTCTGAAAGTATGCTTCTTCATGAAGCATACAAGGCAAGGCAGATTTTTAATTTATTCTTTTTTAGTCATGGCAGCTTTTATAAGAATAGAATGTCCTGTTATAACTGTTCTATTGAGTGAATATTTTCTGGAGGATTAGCAAAGTTAAATTGTATTCTCCTTTGGCATTGTTGGTGAATCTGACCCATTTTCTATTTCCTTGCTGAGTAAAGTACAAGGACATCTTTCTGCCAAAGGGTTATTTTTGCCAAAGCTTGATTCTGTTGACTAGTGGACCTGTATGTTCTCATACAGCCTTTGATTTTTCGGTTGAATAGTTACTGACTATTAATCAGGTGATTAATGTTTTATCAGAGCTTGCATTTATCAGTCATAAAACATAAGCAGACTAGTATGTTTTGTAGAGTGCCTGCTCAATCCTTCCAGTTGTAAACACAGACTTGAAAACTACGTGTTTAGGGTTTACATTTTCCCATTATTTACAGCTGGATTTTACCCCTTAATGCTCACTGAATGATGTTGTCTTCAAACATTCATAGTGATTGGAAGATAAGATACTGCTGGGTGTGAATATAGATTACAGAGTTTGGAATTAAAAGACTATTATTTGAAATGGGAAGCATGCACTTCATATTGTGTTGCTGATATATTTAAAATGAAAAACTTGCTTACAGAAGCCAGCATTCATTTCGGTAAGCTGCAAATATTGAGCATGTTCAAGATTCTTCAAGTCAGTTTCACAGTATTACTCCTGTAAATCTAATGATTGCACTGTGATGATTTCAGGTTTTTGTGTTTGCTGGCTTTTTTTTTTTTGTTGTTGCCTGATGTTGTGTTTTGAACTCCTAATGTTTTGGGTTTTTGTTGGTTTTTTTTAAGGTGTGACTGTACAGAAAAATTACAGAGTAAATTTGACTTCTTACGGTCACAGTTGAATGACATTTCATCCTTCAAGAATATCTACAGATACGCCTTTGATTTTGCAAGGGTAAGACTGCTGAAATGTTAGGAAAGTTCTTACTTTTATTTATTCAGCAAGCTTGTACTTGATTGGTTTCTGTGCTTTCTTTATTCAACCTTAGGAAAAAGACCAGCGAAGTCTTGATATTGATACTGCAAAGTCCATGTTAGCTCTTCTGCTCGGAAGAACTTGGCCACTGTTTTCAGTATTTTATCAATACCTGGAGGTAAAGTTTCCTTGACTTTTTGAATGTTGGCATAGTAGTTGAACTGTTCTGTGAGAATATTGTGGTTTTTTAACTCAAAAATGTATCTGTATTGCTCCCTTTACCTTGTTCAATGTGCTTATGAAACAGTAATGTTCTTGTATGCATCAAAATCCTTTTCTTCCTCTCTATGCCCCAGCCCCTTTTCTTATCAAAGACAGCTAAAATTCCATCTTGGTTTTACTCTAAATATAAACTTGAAAGTAAGTAGTAGAACCCCACTAGTCTATTCAGCTGCATTTGCATCTGCACTGCATTTCAAGTTTGCTTTTTATGTCCTTATGATCATAATGTATTGTACCCTGGAGAAAATAAGATTTTAAATTTTTTTTTTAATAGTTCATTCTGAAAATGCATCTCAGCTAGATATGCTCCACATTAGGGCTAGGCAAAAATATACCAGTTTTTGAAGCTTAGAGGGGTAACTTAACTGATTTCCAGGTTTTGGGGAATTTGATTCTGTTCTGATCTTCCAAGAAATCATTTCATGTTGTTTCATAACTACAAAATATGTTCATGTGTAGTATTTTTAAAAATAGAAAATCAAGTAAGTAATAGCCATTGTTACCTATTAAATAGTTTGTTAGGAACTCATTGATGATAAAAAGATAAAAGTGGTGCAGGAGTACCAAATGCCATTTGACATTTTAATATTTTGAAATTACTTTTCCTAGCAATCGAAGTATAGAGTTATGAACAAGGATCAGTGGTACAATGTACTAGAGTTCAGCAGAACTGTCCATGCAGATCTTAGCAACTACGATGAAGATGGTGCATGTAAGTATTCTTAATTTTTGCTTATTCAAATATTAGCAGAGAATTTTAAAATTGCATAAAATGAATTTCCATTGCAGAAACAATACTGTAAGGTTTTTTTTTTTTTCTAACAATGAATACAAAAACAGCCCTGATAACCATCCACCTTCAAGCTGCAGTTATTAATTTTTCCTACTTGTTTGTCAAGGGTATAGTATGTAAATAATATGATGATTTAATTGAGCCAGCTTGTATTCAGTGAGAATCTAGTGAAGGTGCTTGCTGCATGCAACTGTAGACTTGCAAGTAGAATTATAAACAGTGAACTCTCATTTTGTACTAATATATAATCAACCGTATATAATAAACCATAGCTTAACAATTTTTGCTTACTTGCTGGTATTTGGGGCTGAACTTTCCACCTGGCTGGTAGTCAGTCATGCCATGACTGAACTGCCTAAGTCCTATTTTGGTCCATGTTGTAATGATTCACAATTTTGAAAACTTTGGAACGAAGGAATTAGTTGTGCTGTTTGCAACATTTGTAAGATTATTTTTATGCCTTCCATTCCATTCACTCCACCTGTCAGATATCGGGATCAATTTTTTCCATAAAATGGGGGTTTTTTGCACTTTTTGTCATCCTTGGATTGGAATGATTGTACTAATCTATGAGTATTTTACCATGGGATTGCCATGGATGTTTCCTAGAACAGTAGTTTTAAACCCTCCTACTGAAAATGAAGGTGTTTGAAAGACATTGCTCATTATAACTCCCAAGTTTTGTCTGTCTGCAGGGCCCGTACTTCTGGATGAATTTGTTGAATGGCAGAAAGTTCGTCAAGCGTCATAGCAAGAATTCAAAAGAAAATGCAAGAGTTTTTTTTTGGTGCCCGCCTGTACACAAAGTAATGAGAAAAACAAAGGATTGCATTTTCATTCATAAGAAAGACTTTACAGTAATTTTTTTTCCTTTTTTAAGGAGACTTTCTTGTTACATGTGATATGGGCATTGAACCACACCTCTTCTGAGACTGAAAGTTGGAGTTCTTGTTTTGAGTCTTATGTTTATAGCATTTCTTTCAGAACAATAAAGATTCAGATTTGTGACAAAGGCCTAAAAGTGATGGATGTCCCTTGAATGTGAGTGTGGTGTCTATTTTTAAAACCAAATCTATAAAATATCTTTCTCAGAAGTGCCCTTTGCTATGAATTTTTGAAGACCTTAAAATGCTTAGTTGGCGCTCTTGCTTGCTGTTGGTGTGATTGTCTGTGTGGCAGATGTTAGAAAGAATGGCTGATTTTGGAAGCCCTGGGTGGGAGTGTGCTAATTTATGTAGTCAGTATTGGTCATAGGTTGTGCCACAGTTTTCAGCTCCTCATGGAGATAAAGGCCTTAAAGTCCTGCTATTGTTTTTTATTTCTTTGTCTATTTCCCACCCAGTGGCATGGCATTTAATGGCAGACCCTTTCAAAGTAGAAAGGTGTAGAAGAAATGGCTCTGTGTGCAGAATGGCTGAAAACTAGTTGCTTGTACTTCAGATGCTGAACACAGATACTCTTTGGTACAGCAAGGCAGCTTCAGATTTTTACTGCTATTTAGGCTTTTTGGATTGCTTTGTACAAGTGCAATTTATATTTTAAAAGGGAAAACTGGGAAGACTTAGTTTCATGCTTTTCTTCTTGCATGTTTTAGACTGGAGGCACTCATAACATGACCTTTTTTTCCTCCCTGGATGGTTTTCATAATATAAATCAAGAAGCAACTATTTAATCACCTACATTTCACCAAGTAACAGGCTGTATGTAACAGGATATTAAATATCACCCTGTTACTCTGTGTTCTGAGTCCCAAAACTACTGTGATTGCCCTTTTAGGCATTCAGTATTCATTACAACTTTTAAATATAGTAGAAGTTTCTCACTCTACCTCCATGCCCAGGAGACTCAATGCCACCCTTGAGAAGGGAAGAGATTTTAATCAGTACATGTGAAAAACCAAACCAGAATGAGAGAATGAAGCATTTCCAACTTCTGCTTTATTATATAAATGTATTATACAGACTGTGATAATACTGGAAGACTCTCAGTCGGTGATCAAGGCCTGTGTGCCAAATATTTTAACAAGTGAAGTAAGAATAGACGATGTAAGCTAGGCATGACTTGAAGATCTTTGCCTCAGGGAAATTACTTCTGTTTTGCACATCCCTTAGTCAGACTAAGAAGCGCGAGTTTTCCTGTCCTTAAGGAAAGCTGTGTTTCCAAGATGATTTTTTTTTTTTAAGAAGGCGGGTGGAAAAAGGAAGGTATGAAGAGAAATAAGGGGTACCAACCAAGTGTGTGCCTGTGCTCTTTTTCTACTACTGAGGACCACACTTGCAGCTTCTCTAGAAGTATGCTTGCTGTGGGCTGCAGGACACTGCAGTGCTGGGCTGTGGGCTGTTCTGCGAGTCACCTTGAGCTGTAGAAGCTTGGTTCCACCCAAGTGAGGAAAGCACCGGAGGAAAAGATACTTGGAACATTTCTGCTTGTACAATGGCTAGTGTCTGTGTGCATGTAAACAGATGCACTACAGCTGCTCTAAATATTCTTTCCCCTATTTTACAAAAAGTACCTAATCTTAGACCTCGTGTGAGCTGCAGCATTTCCCTTCAACATGTCACAAGTTATCCATTTGCATTGCTGATAATTCTGATGTCACTCATAACAGAGTGCCTTTCATTTAGGAATTGCCCTACTCCACAGGAAGCTTCTGCCAGAATGAGATTAATTTCAACAGTCCTAAGATCTGCTGGTACAATAAGGTCCTAAGATGCACAGATAAACATGCACCATGTTACTGATGTCAAGGGATGTACTGCTGTACACTAAATCTCTTCAGGGATGTTGATTCTAAAATTACTTTCAAGTTCACTGCAATGACTCCTTGCATACTGTGTTTAGTCCCCACTAGGGTGTTCTCTTTCCAAAGGTTTTGAAATACTGGTCAGAAGAATCTTTTATAGCTTGATTTTTAAAAAATCATTGCTTTTAGGTAACTGCAAGCTGTTGTGAGTTCAATTTAAACTATTTGGTCCTAGAGGATGATATTAGAGTGTAAAAGTAGGAGTGACGCACCTACCAATCTGAGTCAAGTACTTGCCATTAAGGTGTAAGACACTATATGATGTATCATTTGTATCTGTTAAGGTTTTATCAGTATTCCTATAATAAATCCATGTTTCAGGGATTTACAATGTGGTTGTGTGAGTGATTGAAATTCATCAGTTACTGTAAAACTTTGGGGATTAATGTATTTAAACTAGTTGAAACAGTTTCTCAAGTTTGAATAACTTGGTTATTCAAAACCTGATTTTTTGCTTAAAACAGCAGTCAGGTGTATTGCTTCAGTGTGAATTAATGGCTTGTACAGTTTCATTGTGAACCAATCATGTTTATTAGCTGTGTTTTATTACATGACCTTACAGCTTATTGTTAACTGCCAATAGCTGTTAGCTTGGTTTTTTGTTATTTTAATTTTGTGCATGCCCACAAGCCAAACTTGACTTCTGCTTTCTTTAGTCTTTGAACTTTAATTTTTGTTTTGTTCAGTTGTATTTCAGTCTGTGGAAATTTTTTTTAAGTGTTATGCCTTATCTTTCAGTGTTCTAAGATGAAAGTTTCACAGGTGAAATATACTGCCACAGAATGACAAATTGAACGTGAAATGTCTTCCAAAATTAAATCATAGTGGTGTCTATATTAGTGGTATAAATTTCACATTAGTCCCACTTTCACTTCTTGACATTAGTTCTTCCTAGCACAATTAAATCAGTTCTAGTTTTCTTAGGCAACTAATAGTTTGCAGTTTAAAGTCTGAAAACACCCACCTCTTCATGGGAAAAGCCATACCGGTAGATCGCAATGTAGTATTTCTCTTGTGTAAAAATGTGATCTTGAATTGAACAGTTGCGTCTGTTTACCTATGTCTTTAACTGTATATGTAGTTTTGATCCAATTTCTCTTTACTCTTTAAATTAGCTTCTTAAGTTCTTTACTAATGGCTAGAATTTCACTTCTCTGTAACAGACTTTGAATTTGGCTCTTGAGATGACTGCGGACATCAGCTTGGTACCTGTTTTGGGTAGCGTGGATGAGGGCCCTGTGGTCTCTGTGGCTTTTGTTCAGGGTTTTTTTTTATCATTATCAGAAGCTTTGTGCTGATACATTGAACTTACGGTCCCTTTTGCAATTTCTGTGCAGTCACTATCAATGTTTCTGATATTTTCATATTTTGAGCTAGTAAACAGTTCCTTCAAAGCAAAATGTAGAAACTTGTACAGGTTAAGCTTTATGAAGTGTGATGAATAAAATGGTATGTATTAGGACAGAAAACTTATTTTGTCATGCTGCCTCTTAGTTTTTCCTTACGTGTTTTTGTGTATTTGTTCATAAAATCACTGAGATAACTTAATTCCAGCAAGATGGATCAGTCTCATTGTTAAGTCAACTTTATTGAAGAGTTTCTTTGCTTCTGTGTTTAGATGTAGGAAATAGAACTTTATCACAACTGTGAGTAACAACAAACGCTGTTCTTGATTATATCATCCTGTGTTATTAGGTGCTGATAGAACATCATGATCCTGGACGTTGACTCTCATTAATGCATTGAATGAACACAGTGCCAACAACCTGTTGCAGTGCATGTGAATGGAGAGGGAATGAGCTTTCCTGTCTTCTCCAGCTGCATCCCGTCGCTCTCCCCCAGTGTCTCTTAGGTCACATGTGTGTTTTTAGGAAGGGACTTGGTGTTTTGTAATATACTCTTCCATAAGGTTTTTCAGAGCCCATTACAGAAAGGATCAAAGACAACATCCTGTCATATGTTTGAGTTAATAGCACTGCTCTCACTCAGACCTAAGGCAATGCCTGTTTGTTGTGTCCATGGTTCTGCTTTATATTGGTTTTGGCAATGAAGTTCCTGATGCCTTTCTGAGCCAGTAGAAGTTTAGTGATATATGGACAGCAGGCATCTCATATCTACAAGTGACGGCAAGAGTTTTGTTATTTCTTTACCCATCTGTATTATCATTCTTCCTGTATTTTTTCCTGTCTCTGTGAGAAAGGGCATTGAATTAATAGGTAGGTGCATTAAAGCCTGAATGTGCACTGCAAGGTTATGTAGCCTGTGTTACCTTAATTTTAATTTCAAGCCACTGCCAGATGTGTCACCAGAATGAAATTGGTGTATCACGTCATCTGGATTCTTAACTCTAATCTTGTTCCTGTTTTTGTCCTGTTTAATCAAAGTATAACATTCTACATATTTGGATCTCCTTGGCTTTTTCCCCTGAATAGTTACCATAATAACAATGACAGAAGATGTAAGTTACTGCATTTGTTTTATAGGCCTTAGACTAGACAGATGTTTGTCTTGATGAGTCAAATACTATTTCTTTAATCCAAGTTGGTTCCAGTGTGTTTCTGTTAAATGACTTACTACTTTATAAATTATGAAAATGTAATTGTTGTGTCCTGTTTCTCTAGAAACTGTACATTGATCAAGTTGCTTTCAACGCATAAAGTTCTCAAACTTCTTGAATTAAATTTCTTGCCTAATTATGACAATTTAAAAAAGAATCACTCTATGTTTCAAGGATTTATCCAGGAGTGTATTTTTATCAGCTCAGTCGTGAATTAGTGCTGATTATAAAATAAAGGTATTTTTAGTTGATTTCAATTCTACCTAATGTGCAACTTAATTTTTCCTTAGTGTTTATAGAATTACTTTGTTTCCTTTAGTCTTCATTTTGTGGTAGTAAATTAAAGGGCTAGAACACAGACTGCTAGCTAATTTTTTTCTTGTGGTAGCACTGAGGTGAGTTTTTTAATTCTTTTAAATGTTAGGATATTTCAGAAAGGTTTGTTGTGCCTATTATAATATTTAAATTATGAAGTGAAATAGTAGATGTGGTAAAGTTAATAATGGAAGTAAATAACAGAGACTCATTTCTCTGAACATTTTAAGATTTCATCTTTACAGAAATTGGATTCCTAATGATTGGACAGACATTTATTTTATGCCCTTCTCTCTTAGATTTTAATAGGTATTTTTAAATGAATTTTCTGCTGTCCTTGAAACAGTGCTGTCATCAGTGCACAC